AGTCCATTGTCCTTGACCCAGTAGCATGTCAGCCGTCCACTGTGGTCGATTATTCTGGAGGTTAATTCTAGCTTGTGCCTGGGCTCTATCTGTAACTATAGATTTGAAGTCCAGATACTGTCCTGTTGTTAAACATGCTCTAGCTATTTCAAACCAATCTGCTGGGGTCATAGCCTGAGTAGTGAGCCTAGTCAATAATGTTAAGGTATAACTGGCTGTTACTCCATAAGCTCGAGCAGCCTCTACCAGATCTTTTAATTGATTATAAGGCACAGGTTCATGATATCTATTGTTTGATTGCGGATCTTCAAAAACTGGAAACTCTGATGCTAGCCGTGCCCAGGTGTCCCTCCTGATAAAATGACAACCTCCACCTGTTCGCAGATACGAAGGTGATGCCGGGGGTGGATGTGGTCCCGAAGGCGCCGTTGGTTCCACATTCACCCCAGCAGAAACATTATAAGGAGGGGGCCGCCGCCGCCCATATCTCTCTTCCTCATATTTAGGGGCGGCTTCCTCTAAATTTTTCTCCTCATCTGAATCTAATTCATTATCAGATAAATCAAGTTTTGCAAATTCCCCTAATACTGGATACAAAGGGTTCCCTTTCTTTTCTGAATTTTCTTTCTTCTCTGGTTTATTTTCTTTAATTTCCTTTTCTTTATTCTTTTCTTTGTTCTTTTTAGGCCTACTTAAGTTCTCTCCTTTAGAGTCTGACTCTGATAGACTATCCTGGTGCTTAATTAATGCCTTGCGTCCCTCTCTAATGATTTCTACATTACGTCCTTCCTTAAGACATGCATGTAAAAAACAGCAAAGAAGAACAACAATTGTCATAAGAATGAACACAAGAGCAAACACAAGCGGATTAATCCCAGCAATCAGCATACCTGGAGAACTTACCGACGTGGCCGCTCCGCGTGTTGAGTTCTGAATCCTCTTCGACCCCTCACCTGGTGTCCGAAGATTCCCGGGTTTCGGCACCAGTTGTGGGAGCTCCTCGGCCAGCGAGGAAGAACGACCACCACTCGAGGATTCTTCTCAGATCACACTTTATTGGAGCGCCTCTTGATTAAGGGAGAGCTGGAGGTGAGGGGCCCCGAGGACTAAATTGCAGCTGCTTATATGAGGATTCAAGTCAGTCCGTGATTGGATCCCGCCAGAATGTGAGCACGGGGAGCCAGGGGATAGGCTGAGGACATGGAGTCAATTACCATACTCGCGCATGCTCGGACCTCAGGACACGTAGTCCTAGGAGCATAGTCAAATATGGAGTTGTTTACAGCTGGGCTACCAGGAAGTCGGCGCCATCTTAGAATGGCGGCTCCCTACAGGAAGGGCACTTGCCGGGACAAAGAACAGCCATTGTTCTTTTCCACGTTGCCCACATCACAGCCCAGATTTGAGTCCCGCCGCCACCGCCATGGCAGCTTATCTGTCTATCAGGTGGGGTCAGCTTCGGGCCTCAGTGCTGGCTTCCAAAGGCGGCTGAAAGATCCTGTCACCTGACCATGAAGCCTTGGGTCTGTCTGTCTGTCTTTCTTTTTTGTTTTGTGTGTTTGCTTGCTTTATTTTTATTTATTTATTTTTTTTGGTTTTTCGAGACAGGGTTTCTCTGTGTAGCTTTGCGCCTTTCCTGGAGCTCACTTGGTAGTCCAGGCTGGCCTCGAACTCCCAGAGGCGGCTGAAAGATCCTGTCACCTGACCATGAAG